CACAGTTTATAGGAAACTTACTGAAAACATGAGAGCGTTATAATTAGACTACGGGAACTAGATACTTAATATAAGTATTAATTAACGTATGGCATTATAATAATTAAAGTACATGCAACGGCCGGAAGGCAAGAAAGAGCACTAAGACATTCTGTATCCAGCGTTCCACCTTTGGTGCATGGGACAAGACATAGTCCGAATATAAATACTGTCCGTAGTTTACGCACGTAGCGCGTAACGGATTAAAACGCGAAATGTATTAGTTAACTTATTTTAACTGCGGCCCGACGATTCGGATGCTTTACAGCAGCCATGGTCACGGGGATACTAAAGATGGTTTGTGTCTCTGTTGTCTGTCAACAATATAACACGGTTCAAACATTAAAAAGGGTAATTAAATAAAACATTTTTAAACAATACCTGTTTGCGTAAAATTTATTTAAAGGTGTTTTTTATACATACCAGCCCAAATGTACACAATATTATAAAGCTGAAGAGTTGGTTTGTTTGTTAAATAAAAAAAAGCTGGAATTAACAATATAAGGTTTGTGATGGATAGACCATTTTTTGAGGAAGGCTTTATGACATAACGCTGCAAGTAATCGGAGCGAACAAAACTGAGGAAAATGTAAAAAAAACGGTCAAAATTATCTATCTTTGAAAGTTTCTGTTGCGTGCGCTGCAAAAACAGTTCAAGAAACCAAAAAGAAGTATTAAACACTGAATCCTCTTTAAATAATCTCTAAAAATCGCGAACATTTTTAGATCCGTATGTGCCTATCCTTTATTAAATCAACTTGTAAGCATGACTGGCCTCAAAGTACGCGACGTTGTGGGTAACACCTACAGATAATAAATAGGTCTGAAAGTACAATTATTACACTTCACCTTAAAAACAGGTAAATTTAAAAATAAGATAACTAGTATACTTCGCGTTTTAAACGTTTAAAAGTGTTTTATTTATGTAAAACATATTTGCCAAAACATTTTTTTTTTCGAATATAATGTTGAAACATCTGTTTTAACTAAATATTATGGAGATATATTTAAATACTGTCATATTATGTGATTTTCGGCACATTATGGCCCATAAAGGTATGTAGATAAGCTAATTATGATAAAGTAATGCTGATAGCACTTTTACGATGTGATTGCTTAAGATAGAAAATATTAAGATGGTGCCAACAAAACCAGAGATAATGTCAAAACATTTGTTGGGCCGATTTGATAATAACAATATTCTGAAACATTGTGTTGATTCTAATATTAGATATAAATTGGAGGAAGTAAAACAGGAGAAAAAGTGTTAGTTTTTAGTAACTTGTGCGGCATGTATAAGATTGATTTGATGGTAAGTCGAAGCTTCAATAATTATTTTATTATAAGTCAAACTACCTATACACTTCCGATTCAAGCTAACTATCAATTGTCTTATTAAAAAGAATCCAGCACCTACATAATAGTTACAATAATATTACAGTGAAGCATCTATATAAGAATAAATTTTGAATATTAAAATGTGTAATATAGAAAAAAACACTTTCGGATAGATTACAGTAGCCATAGTTCTTGCGTGACGTGATTAGACGTCGGACCATCGTTAAATTAAGTTATAAAATAGATACTTAACTAGGATGTACTAAAATAATTATTTTATTTTATTTCTAATTCACGTAGATATGACAAAGAAATAAAACCAAACAAACATCACTTTAGTATTTAACGAAATATTCGTATTGCAGTAGGAACCTCGTCCATTTGTATATTTACTGATTTTTTTAAACGCTCTTCGCTTACAACTCGGACTATGACCCTGCGAAAGACGGTTTTCATTAATTAATACGTACCTACATTATAAACAGACGTCTGGCTTTTGATTGCGTAGCATTCCACCGAGGTAAACGTGTGGTGATATTTCTTAGAACAATCCGTTTTAAACATCCGAACACATTTTATATTTACTTATTCTCTATACGTGTGTTGTTGGTGCGAAGTGAAAATTTATTAGTGTCTATCTTTAGAATGCAGGCCATAGATAGAATTTAAAAAATATTGATTGCGTTTCAGGGAATCTGTAGCCGAAATAGGTCAACAACGCATTTCGTTGCGATGATGTGTTGGCATGGCGTATTTCACCTTCCATCAAATGAACTCCATGCCTAACTGTCCTCTCCATAAAAAAAAAAGGACTTTATTTTACTTAATTCCCGACGGGCTGGCTGGTTCAATGTTATCATTGAGAGACGTGGGTTCAGTTCCCCCCAGGTTCACCATGTTTTATTAAATAATTTTTAATTTTTCTGAAACATAAATAAGATTCGTCTGGTAAATAAGGTATTACGTGGATGTTAGATACTGTCGAAATTACGTCCGGGTCACGAACTACAAGGACATAATAGGACAAAAGAACTTCTATATGGCTTAGATATATCACCAGAAGAACCACATGTGTGTATGAACTATAAAAAAAAAACTAATCATTATTATATTTTGCAGATGCAATTATTTGTAGTTTTAAAAGTCAATACAATTTAAAAACTTTAAAACGTTCCTAACAATATATTTTTTGATAAAATGTGTTAAGCCGTTAATTTTTTAATTATTATTTAAAACTAAAATAAAAACTAATATTTTTAAACTATTATGTAAAAAAATAGTAGTACAGTTCCCACGACAGTCTAGCTTTGAGATATATTGTGAAATGTTATCAGATTCTGAACGTTATCTCAAAAATAGATTACCCGAATCGTTTTGGCCAAGCCAAATAAATAAACATAATTTATCTAACAATAAAAATAACTATCATAGATTGATAACAATATAAAGCAACAAATAAATTCTATTTTCTTTCTCATTAAAGGAAGAAAAAGGAGGAATTCTAAATTGCACCGATTCTTCTCGCGACCAACTGGAGTAATGCAAAAATACATTGGCTCATTAGTGGAGGGAAAGGCGCATAGGAACTTTAGACAAATTGGAAAGGATCCTGGTTTGCAAATTACAAATAATTCTTTGTACCCAAGCTAATAGGCACGGATAAAAGATGTATCCATTTGCATAATGAGGGGCAATTTGGATACTTTCTCTTCATTTTTTCAATGACTTGTGGCGTGAGAGACGGGAAATGAAATAAATAAAAAAATCTAAAATAATACTGACGCATAGTATTTTTTTACTTTGACATTAGAGACACCGTCCGTCATCGTATACTTCGTATCTTAAACCGTTAAAGTCTTTTATTTTAATAATACCGTTAAAAATTTAAACTTAAGAATTCGGTATCATGGCCGTAACATAAAACGTCGTTAACATACAAAAAAACTTCAAGCAAATCAATAACTTTCATGGTGGTGATGATGACATTGGTTTTGTTTATGGAAATATGCCAAAAGCCTAAATGCCTTCTTGTTTGAAAAACATATGTCCGGCTTGAAACGCGAAAAATATTTTATACCTCTTCTTGTTAACGACATTCCGACCTTGGGTGATTTTTACACAGTGTTAATATATAGGGATTTCTTTGGTAACAGTTAACAGTGTATATTAAATATACTATATTCTAAGTAAATAATATAATTTTCACATCGTACTTTATATTACATAGTATCTAGAAAACCATCATATCCATATTATAATCAACTTTTTAACATTTTTTTATGTTTTATTATTAAATTAAATTTAAAATTGAAGCCATTTCTTTCAGGCAACTTATGCTGAAAAGTATGATTATTCTATCCCTTGTCCGTTTTTCCCTTAAATTTTGAGTATGTGTCACATAGTGAGAAATATAATATGACAGCAGCTCTTAAACTACATTTCACGTATAGCCTGAGGAATGATGTTGTTCCCCGGTTCTCATTCCCTTTCAATGGTTTTGTGTCGCGTTAAGACGCTTTTGTTTTGGAAATGAAGATTTGCTGATACGATTCGGCGTGTTGTTGAATTAACGGGGTTCACAAATTAGGGACATTGCATTAGAATTCCTGTCAAATCTTTCTCTACGAACAGGATAGACATGTACTTTTTGAAGGCAAGGTCCTTTCTTCATAGAGTTTCAAGCCAACCGTAAACACCCACCACAATTTTAACAACAATTTAGCTATTATTATCAGTTACAGTATTTTTTTTCCATTGTTTAATTCTGGCCTAAAATGAGGCTCTACGAAATATTACTAAGCTTATAACGCCTAAATATAAAAGCAACTCTGTGAAACGGTTTTTGTACATTTTTATTTGAACCTGGATTTTGAAACGATACTGTTGACATGTTTTGCATAAAAGATGGAATCCAATATAGTTCTCGCGTTTGAAGCTTTAAAATAAAATGGTTACATATATTTACATAATAGCTGCGTATGCGGCATAATCTACTACTGATTCTGATCTCGGCATAGATACAAACGCGACAAATGTAAAATAATCTAAATCGGTCTGACGTTGTTCGAAGGATTCTGAATTTATTCATATATTTAGTTTAAATTAAACTTTTTCTACACTTGTGTGTAGACAACAGCTTGTTTCATTTTTTTTTTCCACATAAAATTTGAAACGAATGAAAAAAAATGTATTATTTTACTAACTAGGAAACGTCGTGGTTCTTGGCATACAAAGCTTATGATTCGCCATAACAAAAACAATATATATTCGAAGACCCATAGTTGCACACGTAACTAATATTATTATCATCGAATATCCACCCGAGGGCTATGACTGCATCGATGCGTCCCACTAGTGGGAACTCTTTACCAGCTGATAACGATGTCGAAATAACCTTTACCCAAATTAATCCGCGACATGTAAATCATTACTCAAACACGATTGTATCTTATTGATTTGTTATCTACCATTTTCGATAAGGCAAACTAATTTCAGCGATACTGGTCAGTTTTTTCGTTACGTGTCATGATATCGGTCGCCGAAGTGAAGGCAGTCTGCTTGCTACCTATGTCATTTAAAACCGTTCAACTGTTCTTCGAAGATTCCAAAATTTGCTATCTACAATGGCTGACCGAAATAACTCTATGAAGGAACAGGTAATTTGTTATTTCCTATATTTTTAGAAAGATAAGGTGGTTCAGTGGTGGCTCTTTCGTTAGAGACGTAGGTTTTAATTCCGGTTATATATCAAAAGAATTTCACCCCAAATTCTTCTACGTTCTCTCCGGTGTTGGAAAACGTCGCGTTTAAACTGGCATGAAAAATTTAAATAAACGCACATAATTGCTTTTCAAATAAAATTATATGTTTAAAGACATTAAAAAGTGGATACAAATGTCTTCGAATGGTGATTTTATAAAAAAAGTGATATTTACGACGATATAAGATACCAGTTAAGCCTTTTTCATATGAAACACTACCTATAAAAGTCGACATAAATATTTTACAACATTTTTCAGAAGTGCCTCTTGTCTCCCTTTGTGCCATTCATTTCAGACCTGTTAATCCTGTGTATTATTTTACAATTTTAATTAAAACAGTATCAACAATACACAGTAGTTACGTTCGCAAAGAGTTCTTTGTATAATATTATTTATTCTAGAGAATAATATCTAAAAGTAATAAATAAATATTATAACATAAGTAAGTATATTATAATATGCTTATATAAGTAAATATTGCCCTATTCCCATTGTATTTTGCCCTGCAAAGTCCTGCGCTCGGGTTTTGAGTTGTTAGTTGATTTTATTTTAAGATCGGATTTGTCAGACTGAATATTTTATGTTATCATGGGATTCGAACTGAGAATAACAACTAATACTTTGTGTTTATATCTCTATTAGTAAGGCAGGACCTAAGCAATCAGAATCTAAACAAGATGTCCTGTCAACCTATTTTGGCTTCAGATATACGGAAATCCACAGACCGAAACCAAAACGCGATTAAGTTTCACGGCTTCTTCATCTGTGGTGAAGTGGTGTGGTGACGGTAGTTCCCATTTAATATCCAGATTTCCAGACGTAGTCCGACATGTATTAGAAAAATTATAAATTGAAAAATTTGAACACGTTGGGCCCGGTGAGGATCGAATCTACGACCGGTTGATTAGCCATTGCTACCATTAGAACAACGAGCCCGTCCCAATTTATTATATTATTACTTTATTTAAATAAAACACTGTAACGGTTTAAAGCGCGATATATTAGTTAAACTTATTTGAAAATGATTTTTAACTTCGGCCCGACGTTTAGGATGCTTTGCAGCAGCCGTGGTCACGGGGAAACTGTCTCCGTTAAAGTGTTTTATTTAAATGTGTACTACTCGCGTAAACTATAGACAGTATTTATTACATTACCAAACATCTCTTACGGTTCAGAGGTCGTCAACAGTGGTCCGCCATGTTATTACATCATGTAATATATCTCCCACAGTTGTCAGTGAAGGATTTCTCGGACAATGCATCGGAAACACCGAAGCGTGCGTCTTGGGGGAGCCCATTGGAATTCATTCTCGCGTGTCTGGGCTATGCGGTGGGTCTGGGAAATGTCTGGAGGTTCCCTTACTTATGCTACAGGAATGGTGGCGGTGAGTGTTAGAAGACGTTAGTGCATTTGATATGCATACATGGCCTATCGTAGCCACGAAACTAATGACATATATGCCATGCCACGATGCGATTTTGACTAGTGGCATACTATGCTTAGTGGCTTAGTCCACATAATATGGCATGGCGGCATAATAATGATATAAGCCATGCATAATTTGCCAACCGATACTTGAAGCAATTTGACAAGCGACATTTGAAGTATTTCAACTTATTTGTGCAGCTTAATAAGATTGAGTTCGAAGCCATCTCGATTTATAAAACATTTGAAGTGAAGAGTGACAAACACTCAACAGCACATAGAAGGATGGTTCCAATTGCATTTTTTTCCCAACTTTTACCTGGATTTTGTCTATAACAAAAATTAAGTATTTTGAGTGCTTTTTACAACTTAAAAACCTCCTTATAGTGAATAATTACATACAAAGTACAAAAAGTAAAACTTTTACTTTTACAAAAGAGTGAGATTGTTAATAGTAAATTGTATTCGTATATTTAAAGACTTTAAAGTTATATCACATAAGAACATATACATATAATAAAAATGAGGAACTTAAATACTCTCTGTAGTTTACGCGAGTAGAACACATTTAAATAAAACGATAAAGTGTTTTAAAACGCGATAAATATAGGTCTATTGAATATTTATTTACAATGCAATTAGACCGCTATGTAAATAAGTATTAAAATAAACTATTTGTGTTACAGGTGCGTTCCTCATACCATTCTTCTTAATGATAGTTCTAATCGGTCTACCGATTTTCTACTTGGAACTGTATGTAGGACAATACACTGCTTTGGGTCCGTTAAAAGCCTTCCATGCCATCGGACCATTCTTCACAGGAGTAGGGTACTGCACCCTTATGGTGATCAGCATGATATCAGTATATTACATGATCATAGTGGCGTGGACCTTGTACTACACGGCAGTCTCCATCATTGGAAATTTGGAATGGGGTACCTGCTATAACTACTACAATAATGACTGTAAGTATTCTTTCATCTCAATATTTAACCTCTTCCCAGCGCTGGGGCTTTAATGGATAATAAGGAAAATTTCGGAAAAGAAGCCAAACCACCTACAATAAGACCAACTAACGTATTGTTTTGTCTGAAAATATTCTCTTATTTCATCACGCAAAAGTGCAAATTATTATTTATATTGAATTTGTCACTTTATGAATATATTTTGACGATCTCGTTATACTGTAATGGTAGCAATGTATGAATAATAATTAACGGGTGGTAGGTTGGTCCCATCATCATTAAAAAAAATACCAGATTTAAAAATAATACACATTTATTTCATTACAAATTTTAAATATTAATAATCAAAATTAATTTATTTAGAGTGGTAACTAAGTACTCGTATGGTTGTTAAAACGGTTAAAAAAGAGTCTAAGCACATTCACTACTAGTACTCGTATCAAGAACGTAGAAAGAAGAAGTAAAGCTTTCAATCCCATACTGAGATCACTATCCCGCACCGCGTACAATGGAAACAAATTTTCACTTCGCAAACTTTCGATTCAGCTCTTCAAAGCAGGTGTTACTTTTGACGTTTATTATCATTTTCAAATAAAATTTTCGCGTATTCAGAGTCGGAATTGTAAGAAATAAATCACCGTCCTCTTTATATCGCGACGTGATGCAATCCTTGCGTAGAGTCATAAATTTTACGACACACCAGTATATTAAACTCGTAAACGGATATCATTCGCGGTACTAAAGTATATGGAAATCTATCTTTATTATCAGTTATTGTAAATTAAGATTGGAGAGCTTAATTTACTCACCAGGAATTTTTTTAGTCTGTTCGTTTCAACCTAATTTGTGTCTCTTGGCATGTCCGTCATAGAAAAGACAACTTTTGCTAACTAATGATGCTGCAGAAGAAGGCTACTGAAAATTAAGAGAGAGTGGTTCTAATGACTTGAATGATGATTAGCGATTAGTGGTTCTGGTCGACTGTTGTCTTTGGTAGGGTTGCTACTGCCAGGTTTTACACAGAGTGCGCTTTGCCGTAGAACCCACGTCACAAAATCCCTACGTGCGTCATTAAAAAAAAATAAGAAAAAGTACCACCGCGCTACTTCAGCACTAGACACCGCGGTGTAACTACTTACACCAATAAAGCGATGGTGATAAGCGTATCTATTTACTCCTTATTATTTCATTAAAGAGATATCCCATTCTGTTCGCCAAACACAGTCCAAAGAAACACAACCGAACGCTATTTACAGAATCAATTAACTAATAAATTTCATCGGAATTAAAAAAACAAGACATTTTTATGAAAGATCTAGATTTTTCTATGAAATATATATGTCCTCCACACAAGCACCCACCTGATAATAAGTGAAATACCCCAGCCATATAACATCTTAACAAAAGAAGCTGTTGACCTATTTTGGCTTTGGATATTCGGAAATCCGCAGAAACTTTAGCACTTAACTAGAGATTGCATTTGATTGTTCAGCTATCTATAGTTGATACCCTCATTCAATCAATTTGTTAAAAAAAACACAAAACAGAAATATGACAATTATGATAAGAAGGTGATGAAACTTTGAAAGTTTCTTACAAGTATTACAGAAAAAATAATTTTGAAGCGTATCTTCAAGAACTTGAGGATACGCTTAAAATTAGTTTTCTTTAGTAAGACAAATTGTATTCCAATATTCCGATGTTAGATAAAAAATAAACAATTTAGCATGATTTTTAATAATTCATAAAACTGCTTTCGTCACATATGTACATGAATTGTTAAATACTGTCTATAGTGTACGCGAGTAGCACACTTTCAAACAAAATACTTTAACGGTTTAACGGGGAGACACCGTGACCACGGCTGCTGCAAAGCATCCGAAACGTCGGACCGAAGTTAAAAATCATTTTCAAATAAGTTTAACTAATATATCGCGTTTTAAACCGTTTATTTAAAAATTAATTGTTCACAAAAAGTATTGTCTATAGTTTAGGCGAGTATAACGCATTCGAATAAAACCTTTTGTGCATAAAATGATTCTCCACGTGACTACAGCTGCAAAGTATCTGAAACGTCGGATCGTAGTTAAAATTAAGTTACCCAATAAAATATGCGTTTTAAACGATGAAAGTGTTTTATTTCAATGCTCAGTGTAATAACTAAGCAGAGCAGAATAATATTTCGAAAAGACGTTCCCGCGAAAGTCCAACCTGTTTCAGTTGAATTTGAATTGATTAGGCAATGATCCAAATAATTTTGAATTTTATTTTCTATTTAAATATCTTCTTCATATGTTAATATCTGCACTTTTCATCAATACAAGTCGATAATACGTGTCGATTACCAAAAACTATCATAAAAACGTTACAGATTATTTACGCACGTGCTGATAAGATAAAAGGGGGTTTGCATTTTTATTTACAATGCAATAAAGACCCATTTGGTTAAGTAACTTGTTGTTTTAATCATTGCGATTATCTAAATATCTTACGACGACGAAAAAAAAACTATGATAAGGTGCGCTGTGGATCTATTTTAGCTTTATTTCCTTTTACCATCCACCTTTCAACGTCCAAGTTTTTCTGAAGAAGTCAAACATGTTTATAAATAATTATAAATTCAGATACATGTTTGACTTGCAAGTAATCGAAGTCACGACCCTTTGTTTAGTATTTATGTTCACGATCTATTCTATAAATTGTCACCGTTGGTCTAACTAGCACTGAAACTTAAAATAAGTATGTGTTTCAGATTGCTACAGTGGCGAATATGACGCAGGTTGTAGGGAGAACAACACAGGTCTCGCCACAGACTTAACATATTATATGAGAAAGTGTATGAGCATTGCTGACGTGTGTACTATGACTGGTCTGCAGCCATATGATGGAAAATATTGCTTCGACGGCGAAACAACAGTACCTTGGTATAGTAACGCTACAAGGATATTGGCATCAGAACAATATTATAAGTGAGTACTATTAACTACTAGTTAGTTTCTCTCCTACTCGTTGTATGTACTTTTACTATGTACCTCTGATATTACTTGTTATTCCTTACACCTACCCACTAAATACATTATTTTCTATTTCTTTTCTCTTGTACCTCAGGTTGCTTGGAAGAGATCGCTACGTAGCAATAAGGCCGCCTTTTATTTATAAGTTAGTACGTAAGATTCTTCCTCATTAATATGTATTTTCTGTGGTGTGTTTTATAATTAATAAAACAATAATAAATACGTATTTGCAAACTAGCTGTGCCAACGACTTCGTCCGCGTAGTAGAATAGTTGTTTGGGGCATCAATATTTGTTTTTGGAAATCTCCTTTAAACTATATAAATTGAAGCTGTTACCCACGATATTGGTCGCGTCCCGTCGTTCTTGCAAGTTAATCTCAAAAGATAGACATCGCATCGCAGACATTTTTTTAGATCATTCAAAGAGACATCATAATTTATTATTCAAAACAAAAATAGATCATTAGCACTTAGTAAGTATTTCAACTTCCATCAAGTGTAATGCATGCTTGTCTGTTCTCATCTATCATAAAAAAATGCGCGTGTAAATGTATGTCTTCAAAAGTAACATAGTACGTGGCCTTAACAGTGTAGGTTTTCTCTAATATTTACGTTATTATGTATACATTGATGCATATTCAACAAATTCTTTGACAAAAGATAAGTTTCCTTGTTTCTTCAAGTGTTAGGAAAACGCGATCAAACAAACGTTGCATTTTTATATATAGTTATAATATAGAATTACTGACATGGCAAATGTTCTTTTGCCTTATGAAAAACATATTTCGACCAAATTTCATTACCATTAAAGCGGTTCTTATGAGTTCATCTTTCGTGATAATTTCATAGACTATTTAAAGAGGAATAATATTTTTTTCCTTTTTGTGGGTATCTTGAACCGTTTTCACGACGTGCATCAAAAGATTTTTCCATTTTTTTTTACATTTACCACCGTTCCGTTGCAGCCTGATGTTTCGTGGCCTAAAGCTTCCTCGATACATGATTCGCCCAATACAAAAATATTTCTGTAATTCAAACCAGTAGTTTCTAAGATTAGCACGTTCAAACAAACAAACAGACTCCTTTGCTTTATATATATAATCATAGGTAATTATATTTTTAGCGGGCGTGTTTTGGGCAGAGGCGATTCTACATGGACGAACTGGGGGACAATACAATGGCACCTAGTTGGCTGTCTGTTTGCAAGTTGGGTCGTTGCATTCCTCTGTGTTATTAAGGTATATTAATAAATATTAGTACTCAATACGATAATCACACTTCAAGGACAACGTCGACAGTAAAAGTGAAAGTTAAAAATCATTTATTCATGTAGGTAACTAGGTACACTTTTGAACGTCATAAAACTAGAGAATCAAACTTTACATTTACTGCTAGTTCTCAAATCAAGGGCATAGAACTAACGAGAAGAACTGGCAAGAAACTCGCCGCCAAACCATTAATCGCCAAGTTTCATTTTACAGTACTAAGAAATAAATATTAGTGTAATATTCTAAATTAATTTCTCTTGTTTTGTGGAGATTAAATAAAACATTTTAACGGTTTAAAACGTGACGTATATTAGTTAACGTATATATCAATTGTTTTTACTACGACCCGACGTTTTGAATGCTTTGCAGCAGCCGTGGTCACGACATATTTCGCGTTTTGAACAGATAAATGTGTTTAACGAACACAATACTTTAACGAAGTGAGTTATTTTAGTTTTTTATTAGCCCTGTAGTGTACATCCAAATCACAAAGAAAAAATACGGCTTGTTTTTCAGCAATGATAATGAGTCATAAAAATAATAATTAATCCTCTCTTATTAATTGGCGTATTTGGAACATTACTTAATATATCGTTCCTATCATTATTTATGACTATAGCTGTGCTATAAATTCCTGAACAAAAATACTGTCATACAATGCAAGATAAGAAAGTCTTGACCCCCTACACATTATTTCGTATAATAGTTATGTATAAAATGATTCACATTTTAATAGTGACAGTCTTTTGGGGCAGTTATTTTTTTATTAAAGCTCATTTTAGATAAAAGCAATTAAGATATTTCGCTAATATACTTAAATGTAATCCAAATACTAGAGGTATTTGGATTTGGCACCAGAAAAATAGTCATGGTGGGTCTATTAAATTTTCAGGAATAAATATAAAAATATACTACGAGAGTTGTCGCCATGCAAGTGGGATATTTTTGGAGAAAAGTTTTTTTGTTAATTGACGAACCGATAACGTTTACAAGTCATAGCTTCATATCCCGGGATTCACTTCGATTGCCGTCAATGTTGAAATATATATTCATTCTGCTCTGAAACTATCATTAAATAATCTTTAAATTAGTAATATACTCTTAAAAATTACTGTGCTGCTGTCTAACCAATTGAGCTACTGTGTGTACCTCTTCAAATATTTATTTATTTTTTGTATTATTTAGTAATTTTTTGAGATAAGAACAGTATTATATAATATTCTATTTTTTCAGGGTGTACAATCAGCAGGAAAAGTTGTGTACTTCACAGCATTGTTTCCCTACGTAATGTTGACGGCACTTTTGATCAGAGGTGTAACTTTGGAGGGTGCTGGTGAAGGAATCATGTTTTATTTGACACCGAGATGGGAACTCTTGCTTAGCGCCAATGTTTGGGGCGACGCTGCGTCCCAGGTAAATTATCTTAAAAATATTAAAAGAATAACAATAGGAAACATAGACAGACAATTTTGAAAATATATACTGAAAACTTTGAATATGATATATAATATAACTACAAACCTATTAAATAAAACTGCAAAATAAGCCTATTAAATAAACTTAAAAAAAACTCCGATTAAACTTTTCGGTTATGGAATTTTTTTGGTATCCAGGAAGTGCATGTACAAAATACAAACACGTTATTAAGAATTTTTTTCTTTAAAATAAAAAAAATATGCACACTTTGATTGCTTTGTTTATTATACAACCCTGCTTATATATATTGCATCTTTTTTCTTGCTTTCCTTAATTTCACAACACAGAGTAATATAGTTACCGTATAACCCCAAAACTCATTCTCTAGTTTTTAATGTAAAATCTCAATTTGAGACCTTTTTTATTTAGACTGAAACGTGATTAAACTTTACTGCTTCATCAACTGGGCTTGAACCTGGATGAAATTTTGCGATTTCTACATCTCATTGAATATTCAAATTTTTAGACGAAGTCCAATATGTTCACAAAAAAAAATAGAATTAGAAACATGTCGGTTATCTTGGGGATCAAATTTGTAACCCTTTTTCCCCATTTTTGCCATACATTTCTACTCTCTGTTAGTTTCTTAAAACCATATGAAAGCTAAAGCTAGGAAATAACATTTTATATGTGACAATATGTTACAGACGTTCTATTCATTTGGGGTGGCCTGTGGTTCCCTCGTGACTCTGGCTTCATATAACAACTTCACGAACAACTGTCACTTCGACGCCGTTTTTGTGTGCCTGGCGAACTTCCTCACTTCCATATACGCTGGTTTTGTCATCTTTTCCGTTCTTGGCTTTCAAGCTAACAAGATGGGCGTTAGTATTGATGGTGAGTTCGAACTTATTTTCCGATATACATTTATTAATTAACACATTTATAGTAAGTAATCATAAACGAACTATATCCCTATATCATTTAAATCAATAGTATCATTTTAACCATGTCGAACTAACTGATACAAGTATTAGTGCATATGACTTGTTTCAGAGTAAAATTAATAATGGGATTTTGAAAAAGCTAATTTGATTTTGGAATTAGGAAAAACTCAACTTTGTTAATATCTCTTTAAATAATTTGTCTTTCTTCTTTAACTATTCCATACACTGCTAAATGGATGAATGTTTGAACAGATTAGATGTTTTGCATTTTGGTCAATTGTTACTTTTGAATAAAATTCAACAGTTTTTTATCGAGTTAATAGTATTCTCAGTAAGTAATTGTGTAAAACTTTTTTTTATTTTACATTGATTAATTGTCACAATTTTGTATATGATTAAAAATAATGACTTGGAATAAATAATTTTTCATAGACATATGCTTTACTTATAGATGAATTGTGCGAACCTCTTCATCTTCGCGTCGGCCTAACAGCCCGAAATACAATGCTGAACGATTACTAACACATTTATTACAGCTTGTATCGAATTATAGGATATATTGATATGAAATTACCCCCCGTTTCTAGTTACTGTTATTAATAATGTAATCTTAGTAGATCTTTTAAGAATTCTACGAAACTTTTCCCCTATTACCTTTTGTCAGATAAATGACTTTCCAAAACATCGATACGTAATCAGTTGATTACTTTTGTTATCAGTGGCTTTGTAATAAATCTGCCACCAATTTACTGATAAATGTTTCATAATGGAGTGGTATACTTCATTATTTTTATTAAAATGACATGAGCAATATAACAAAACACCTATCATGGTAGGCAAAAAAGGAAAAACGAATATTAAAATACGCCTGATGTTCGCTTAAACTGTTTTATTGTTTAAAATGACAAAAATGTCACATTCGACATATGCTCTCTAACTAGGTTTAATTTATTTTTCGTTTATCAACGTTTGCACAAACAATACAAAAAGGACTAAGTATTAAATGACAATGAAGTTGCAAGGCGGCCTAGGCGGCCTCATCGCTATAGTCTATTTCTTCCAAAAATAACAAAATAAAATGAAACAAATAAAATATTCACGATGATCGAAACAAACGAATCCTCCACGATTACAGTTCCTTTAAAATATACTTAATTATAAAGAATTTTGGACTATTTTACTCAGAAAATGTATTTACATGAACATTTAAAGTGTATCTGTTATCTTGCTTTTATTATATTAATATTACGAAGCGAGTGAACATTTTTTGATTGTTATACGATGATAATATATAATATCCAATGATACGACAAGTGAATGTTCTGGCCAACTACTGAAAATTTGTAACGAGAAGCTTAAGTAGATATTGGTTTTATAAAGCAGATACTTAAGAATAATTTGAAGTTATGCTATCTCGATTTCGAATCACACATAAAACATTAATGTGCGTGATAGCTTATCAGCTATAAATCTTGTAATACTAATTTCGATTCACATGTCCGTTATCGCTAAAGACCAATAATGAATGTGTGGATTATATCTCTGCATATTATCGAGTAATTTGCTTTTATGTGTTATCAAGGAATAGAACAATAATAATAATCTAACCTCAAATCTAAAAAAAAACATCTTTCGCAAGCTCTTTTGGTATTCAGTAGCCAAACGAAATCTTTTTGTTGGTAGGTTAAGTCCTATTGTTACTTAATGATAATTTCACTAATATTCAATCCTTGAAATTACCTATAAATCTTTAACCTTAATCTTATCTTGCATACAATAACCCTGCTTCAAGTGTCTTAAATCCATTTTTTATCGTACAGTTATTTTCTTAAATGCATAAATAATATTATTTTCCACTATTCTTTTTTACAGTTCAAAATTTTAACTTCAATCCCTATTATCCTGTGATTAGGATGATATAGAGATACATTCTCATAAATTATTAACCACAATTTTTAACATAGTTGTAGCACAACAAGGCCCAGGCCTGGCATTCGTCGTATACCCAGAAGCATTACTCCAGATGCCAATACCCCAGCTGTGGTGCATCCTGTTCTTCTTCATGCTCTTTATCCTTGGTCTCGGCAGTCAATTTGCTGGGATAGAAGCAATCAATACAGCTATTGTGGACCGCTGGCCAGTTTTGAGAAAAAGATACTGGATGGTAAGTATTCCTTTAGGATATCACGTATGATAATTGGCAGTACATTTTACTAAGTAGTGCTGATTGACTTGCTCTCAGTTTTCTTGTTTGCACAATTAATATTATATTGACACAACACTAACAAATTATTAGTAATAATGCATTACTTTCAAACAAATTTCAAAAAGTTCTTGGGAATTCATCTGTAAAGACATATAATGCGGACATATGTTAGATTAATTTAAGAGGAATCATTCTTTTATACATATTTTTTGGTTTCTTGAACCGTTTTCGCTACAACGGAAATCCTAAAAAAATATTATTTCCCCGTTTTCCACATTTTCCACTATTTCTTCGCTGTAATATAGCCTAAAACCAATATTTCCTGCAATTAGTACTTTTAAATAAACAAACTCTTTAGCTTTATAAAGATAAATCCATAACTCACATCTAATAGCTATGCATTTAAACATAAATTCACTAATTGTATGCTCATTTCAAAGCCCAATAGCTGTATTTTCGTAATCGGCATTTGATTACAGTTCTAACAGGTTGGTTCCATGCTATTTTCCAGGTAACAGCTTTTACATGCTTCGTGTGTTTCCTCTTGGGTTTGCCGATGTGTTTCAGCGGCGGTGTTTACTTGTTTACCCTGCTCGATTGGAACACTGCCTCATGGGCAATCCTTCTTATTGGTATCGCTGAGGTGAGTCAATTCTTTACGTAGATTAAATTATAACTATTATGGCATCTATGTCATGTCTTTTACAACAAAAAGGGAATTTAAATTAGACAAACTCTTTTTGATTTATTTATTCCTACACATAAATAAATAAAACACTTTTAACGATATGATAACTACGATGAACATTTTGGTTGTTAGCGAGTTGTAATTGAAAATAAGTTGACAAATATATTTAAAGTTTTGAAACCATTGAAAGTGTTTTATTTGTTCATGTTATAGGATTAGAGACAATTTATTTTTTATCAACGAAACACAATGCCCCCATTATGTAATAAATAAACATGACCCAACACAATTGTAAATTGTTTTAGCTCGACAATCTCACAAGTACTGTAGTCTGTAGAGTTTATAATGTTATTTTTACTCGTAATGTATTAGTTTATAATTGAAGATTAAGGTTTAAAAATTACAAGTAAGTAGTAATGATTTATAACAAGTGTTATGTATTTTAGAGTAGATATTGTGATGTTTTTTTTTAATTTGGTACTAGCAATTTGATAGCAAAGGAGAAATGAGGAAGTCAAGATTTCAGGCACGCTTGTTACGAGTCGTAGTTAAATATTTGCTAAGCCAAGAAGCATAAGTCCGACTTATTTATGCAGCTCATATTTTAAACTCGCGGGACAATATTTTCCGCTGCTATAACTCTGGAATTAAACAATTTAAGTTATATTTTCGTTCATTACAATATTCTTGAAATTGCGACATTTTCCTCCTGTAAAAACACCTTACACATATTAATATATAAAGTTGTTTGTTTTTTGTTTAAACGCGCTAATCTCAGGAAGAACGGGTTCGAGTTGAAAATTATTTGTATTATTATTTGTATTAAAGCATTTATCGAGGAAGGAAGCGGGTAATGTGAAAAAAAATGGGGAAAATTACTCATCATTATGGGTGTCCGAAGCGTACGCTGCAAAAACAGTGCAAGATACCCAAAAGATATGTATGAAAGCATTCTCTTTAAATGATCTAAAAAATCCGCGACGCTATATGTCTATCTTTTAACTTGTAAGAACGACGGACGCGACCGACGTCGTGGGTCATGGGCAAAGTGATGCTCAAAATAACTATTCTACGCGGACGAAGTCGCTAAAACAGCTAGTTTAAGATAATTTCAGTAATCAGTCATTCTGAACTTATATAATAAAAAGAATCTACCTACTGAAAAAACTCAATACTGCTTCTATTTTATTACACTTCTACTCTTAGTTAAAATATATCACAATAAACATTATTGAATATTATATACTATTATAAGTTATTAGACATTATCTATTTACTATTCTGTCATTTTAGTAATAATATAGTTATATTATAAGTATGAGATTATAAGGATGTTTGTTACGATTTAAAAATCGAAAATAAATTGAAAAAAATTTTCAACTCGGGCAGGACTTGAACCGAATTTTTTTTTTCAATTTATTTTCGATTTTTAAATTATATTAGTTTTAACGCCTTCATGTGCAATAACATGTAAGAAATAATAAAGGTTTTCAAACAGTTAGTATAATTTGGTGTTATTACCGATGACACTCTGGAATAAAATATTCAATCATAATTACATTTTAAATAAAAATATTAATAGCTATTAATGAGATATTCGAATAACGTTGACTAGAATCACTTCAACATCAAAACAATTTTCCCACCTTTACTATCCATTTTATAGCTAAATATATTAAATACTGTCTGTAGTTTACGCTAGTAGTACCCATTTAAATAAAACCCTTTAACGGTTTAAAACGTTTTAAAACTTAATTTTAACCGTTAAAGTGTTTTATTTAAATGCTAAATGTATTGTTTATTATTAAAGGTGACTGCTGTTTCTTGGAGCTACGGAATCAACAGAGCGATGAAAGACCTAGAATCTATGGATATGAAGTTCAATATTGTTCTAAGGTACTTCTGGAAGACTGTGTGGCTGGTAGCTGTACCTGTTGTAAGCATGGTAAGTAGAGTTAAGAATTAAAATGAAATTTTAACGAAATATTTGCGTCATCAATGATGATGTCATGATTGATGTAAAGGTTAAAAACATTCTGTCCTAAGCACTAAAAAATAATGTTTCACTTAACTACTTTTGGAAAAAGCTCTTAGGCTTGATTAACATAGTATAGGTAGATAATAGCGAGATTTCGTGATGCTTTTAGACAGCTATACTACGGCGTCGTTGGTATAATGGCAACATATATGCTTAATAATCGACGGGTCGTAAATTTTGTCCCCACCGAGTAAAAGATGTTTTTAATGAAATTATATTTTTTCTGGGACACGTTGGACTTTGTCTGCCATTTCTGTATATTAAATGGCGGTAAGAAAATCGAAAATACTGACCAGGTCACGAACCACCGTCCGTGCCTTCGTCCGTCCAAAGGCTTGAAGTTTTATCGCGTTTCGGTTTCAGTCTGTAATGTCCCGAATATACAGAGTCAAGGATATGTCTATATCGCACCTTGTTAAGATGTTATTAGGCTGCGGTATTTCATCTTATACATCGTTATTATAAAATTACAGCAACAATGATAAATACCGCCCAAATATCTTCAAATTTGAAAAAAGCAATCACAAAATATTTTTTCAATAACATAAATGTAATAACACTTTATTTCAGGGAATACTTGTATTCGTTTTAGTAGAGTGGACACCACCATCGTATGGGGACAAAACCTTCCCTCTATTCGCAGACATCCTGGGCTGGTTGATTGGTGCATCCACAATAATTTTCTTTCCTATTGGAGTTATTTGGGCTCTATATAAAGGATACGTAAGTATTCATAATCACTATACTTTGATTTTATATTATAAAAAATTGAAAGTATTTGATAGATGCGGATTAGAACTTAACCTTTGACCACATATAAAAAAAATAGTTAAACCTTAACAATATAAGACCACATTATTACATTATATGAATGTCTATCTTCTATTGTTTGTCAGGTATAAATTACTTAACCGGATTCCAGTCGTATCACGCGTAGGTTATATTCATAATAAATCATGACTAAAACTTTAGTATTTTCCACACGTTGGCGTTATATAAACAAAAATCGATTTTAAATCGAACAAATTGTATGACACAAGCAAGACTTGAACCGTTAGCGCTGGGCTGTTGCTCTAACCAAATGAGCTACCTAAAGAGTAGGCAGGTACATAAAAAAATACAATGTAGTTATTTATTAAGAATGCGGAAAGAAACTATTGTAAACATATTTCTTTGTCTGTTTATTTATGTACATATTATACATAGCAATGAATAAAAAAAACTTTTAACGGATTAAAACGCGAAAGAATTTCATTAATATTTTCCGCGCTTCAAGCTTTATTATTTTTGCTTATAAAATATTGTCACCGGGATAAATGAAAATACGAAAAGCGTGGTTTCCATAAAGTTTATCTTACCTATAATTTAAGCGTTTTAAACAGCCCACTTCATTGGGGGTTTGGCACGCGAATCGTTCACCGATAGTAAATGCTGCCAAAAGAATTTCACGTACATTGTACTACAACAAGATTATTACACTGATTACGATACTGCTCAAACTTGAAAATAAATATGAGGCCGTTAGAGTCAGAGTAACTTAACTGCAATTGTATAACTTTACTTATTCATATTTTTACCGTCTAAAAATGTTAATCTACAAGAGCACAATGGCAGAAGTAAACATAATCCTTACACAAATAATAGTACAAATTAATTTTTGCCTAAGTTAATTGCGCATTTTTATTTTCCTCCTTAATAACAATCATGTTTTTTCATCAGAAAACGAGTATCAGGGTTAGAATACAACCTTAGCACGAAATGTTACTTCTGTATTTTCCCTAACGTTTGGAAGCAGGGGGTACCCATTGTCAGTTATCACCCCTTATTCAGAGACGGTTGATGGTGGACGTGTGTATGGTAGGAATATTAAAATACAATCCGGAGTATGAACCACAGATGCCTTAATGTAACGATTAGACGCTTTTCGATTTCAGTCTGTCGATTCCCAACTATCCAAGGCCAGGTTGAAAGCGTATTTTCTTTAGATATTATCTCCTACGTTAGTAAACCTCATGCCAGTCTGTCCTCTATCATGAAAAAAGAAAAAGTTACGTGTACGGCAACAGCGCGGAACACTGTGTATGCCGAATAGTATGTGTGTAACGATAGGTTTTTAATTCAATTGATTTTTTATTTGAATTAATTAATTAAAATTGTTTCAGCGAGGAATGGATCTCTTCACTCCAACACCTGATTGGAAGCCAGCTGTCGCAGTATCAGAGGCCGAAACCAACACTTACGACAACTTGGCTTACCAACTTTGATTGACCCGACGTTAGTTAGCTCCGCTAATAATTACGATGTTAATATTTAACAGTTACAAGAAATGTTAATATTTAACATGGCTTTTCTTGTAATCAATGAGTAAAAAAAATAAGGTCTATTACTTATTGATTGTTATATGTATTTTTAATAATAAGCTAGGTAAAGTCTTCCACTGTGTTATTAATAATCTGAAGTAAGTTAAGTACGAGTGTTATAGTTTGAATAACATTTATTTTTGTTCACACTTGCTGACCTGTCAAACGTTTTTTTGCCATATGAAGTATTTCGACCAAACTTTTATTCACATTAAAAACTGTTTTTGTTAGTTAATCTTAAAAATTATTCTTTCATACGAACAGTTTTTAGAACATTACCGACCCTTACATCGTTCTTTTCGATTGTAGCCTGATGTTTTATAGCCTAAAGCCGACTGTAATAAATGGTCAAACCAACACTAAAATGTTCAATTCGAACCAAGAGTTCCTGAGATTAGCACGTGTTAAACAAACAAACTCTTCAACTTTATAACATTAGTATTGTTTTTGGCACGAATTCAGACATTTACGTAAATCAGTAACCGATTCTTTACGACTAATAATTACCTCTAAAGATACACCTAGATCTTACTTATACTATACACAAATTATAAGACAGTGCCCTGTTTGGCTACTGCAATTTGTACTACAAAAGAACTTACTTTGACCCAATTACGGGCATTCTATTCAAAGAACTAAAGTGGATATTTATTTTTATTTAAAATTAATGAACGCATAATTTTCACTGTAGAGAGCTAAAATGCTGCAGAATACACAACAGTCTGCCAAGTGGCATCTTAATGTCGAGGGACCTAGTCATTAAAATTATGGGCAACTGTTGTTTAATTTAGTCTGTTTAAGTGCAATAGTGTTAATGGAACTAAAATAATTATATTGTTTAATAAAATATTTATGAACATCGCTAATTTTATTTTTATCTCTCGAGCTTAAAATAATCATACAAAAACATTGACCGAACCAAACAGATTTTATTTTTTTGCGGGATTACATCTCTTTTGTTCTTTACGCCTAGCAAGCGTTGGTCCCATATATTCAAAACGTTAAGACGGTAAAGATGAGCTAGCTGGTAGGTTACCCGCAGGTTCCAACATTTTTCTAATGAATATATATTTTTGTAACATGTTGGACTTCATCTGCAAATCTGGATGTTAAATGGGTGATCGAAATACGTTACGAACCGCTGTCTACAGATGAAAAAGCAGTGAAGTTTAATCGCTATTATTTTCGATATTAGTCTGTGAATTTCCGAAATTCCAAAATATATCGACATCGCATCTTGAGATGTTATATGACCGAGGTGTTTCACTTTCCATCAAATGTACCTCATGCTTGTCTGTCCACCTCTATCATATGAGAAAAACATTATCTTTTTTACTTCACTTCAAAAAAAAAATGTATATATTTAAACTTGAGTCATTCCTCTTTTTTTCAAGTCGGTTAAGTTAAATTAATGATATCATAGCTTTGGACTAATTTCATTAACGTTTTTACAAAGTTACTTTAGAGTCCCGCGATTTTATTACGTACGATGAATAAACTGAGAAATATCCTCCCCCGTGGCCCACTAAGTGAAAATTATGAGCGAATAGCGGTATTATCATAGTTAACTGTGAAACCAGTATTTTATTGAGACGAGAAGAATTTTTTAGTTGTTTTACCAATCGTTATTGAGTTATTTTGGCCCCTAGTGTGGGCATAGGAATGGAAACTCAAATATGGTATGTTTATGACGTTATCACAATAAGTTGTAAAACATAATGCCTCTTTTCGTTTGTACTCTTAGCAGTAAACCAAGAAATTTGTATATAAAATGAATCAATGACTTCATCTCTACTATTTGTTTTTTAACCGTTCTCGTATAAAGGTAATTTAATATGTAAGACGATTTAGGGGGGGAAGTCTTTTTTTCGTACAAGAGGGTGGGAGGAAGTCTTGATGGTTCTCAAGTAAGATATATGATTTTAAGACAAAGTGGACTGTATATTAAGTGGAAACACGGTTTCCTTTGAGTTGCGATCACCGCTGCGCAGAAGCAGGCAAAAGGATCCAACGCACTAACCTGGTCTTCCAGACGCTCGCTTCAGCTCCTCGACCCAGTAGATGCACGGCACCAATGTTACTGACACGTCACCGACGTTTAAAATGAGGTCAAGGACACGCGCGTTCAAGATGGCAATTCTTTCGCAACTGATTGGGTTCGCGTCTCGCGCGCGCCCAGTTAACATCGGTAGTGAATAGATATCCTCTACCCGCATTTGCGATGCAATGATCGAACAAAGACCAAAGTTTATTTCTACCGAAAAAATACAAATCATTAGCATCTTTATATGTAAACGTATCTAAAAAAATGTACTTAAAAAAATGTTTTTTCTTTAGATTGTTACATAATAAACATTGAACAGGGGGCTGCTTCTTATTTTTCTTAATAAAGCCTATTTAAAAAATATATAAGAAGGGATCAAAAACTAGCAAACATCGTCTAACGTAATAAATGAATGGCCCTTTCAAAATTTGTTAGGTAAAGTAAAAAATGACATCATAATAAATTAATTTTATTACTTACAGATAAGTATTATTATATAAATTCTCAGTCATTTTGTACGAAGAGACGAGCATATTCGGTTGAATATGCTCGTCGATAACCTTGAGCACCGCGTAACGGTCTTTATAACCAGCGATTAATACTAAACTTCTGACCTCGATTTGAAATAAAACAATGAAAGCGGGCCTCTAACTATCGCTGAAACAGTTCGCTTTAATAAAGGAACTTTATGTAGCCTCACAAAGAGCTTTGTTTAATATTCCACTTGATATTGCACGGATCTTCAATCATGCAAGACTAACAAATTTTAATATTAGGAGTTTCGTTCTTACATGCACGAGGAAAAATTAGAAACGCTGGATAGTAGAGAGGGCTACAAATTCCATTCGCGCCTTTTCTCATTATTTGGGCAAATGGAAAACCTTTCAATGAAAGAAAAAACATAATCGATAATACGCACTCCACAAATGTCATATGGGCATGGGGCGACCACATTTCTGTGTCCGTATCATTGATCGGTTTTATGTACAGACTGTTGATCTGGCTCTTGTGCATTGCTCGACCGAAAGTATTTATTGTTTCCACGAGATTCAAACACAGGACTTCTATTGCTTAACACAAAGCTAGGCGACACATTAAACATTTAGTTACAGAGGTGGTGTTTACACTATTTCATATAGTTTTGACTCATTATAATTAACACACGAATCTAAAAAAGAGAGTCTAGAATTCAAAACACACAGCGGTAACAACGGATTCTATCCAACTGTTTCATCAACTTTTTTCAATTTATAACATATTTTAAATTTATTACACTTAAGAACTGTTTTTAGACGCAGTCTAGTGTTATCCATTGGAATAAATAAAATTAACGGCTTAAAACGCGTGTCCCCTCCTGATCACAACTGGTATGAAGCATCCGTACGTGCCGTTACGGATGCTTTGCAGCATTCGTGGTCATAAGGGAAACTAAAAAAGTAAGGAGTCCCTCTATGAAATTAAATTTAAAATAAGTTATTGTATATTTCGTATTTCGTTTTAAACCGTTAAACGTGGTTTATTTAAATATATGATACGACTTTTTACACTCGCAATCGCAACAAATTACTTTGTCATATAGCAAATAATTGCTTCGAATCGCTGCAAAAGTCGGAGCGAGTTCAAAACTTGAAATCTTAACCGCGTAGTTCATAAATCGCGCGCGTGCCGCGTTTGCCAACTATCACTTATTGTGTTCGAAAGCAATTCTAAACTTAAGGGAACTGACGTCAAACTTGGACACAGGTGCATCGTCTTCGTATGCTCATATAAATCGGGGCAAAGTTTTATTTAACTCAGTCTGCCTTTGCTTGAACTCGGCACGGGCAATGTTTGCGGAAGTCGAAAATATATTATGAGCAAGTCAAAGTTCGAATGCCTTTAATTATAGGACAATAATTATTTCAACTGAAACCAAGTTTTGAATTCAAAAGTTCAAAAGATAAATACACTTATGTGTATTATGAATTAAACCAAATATATTTTAAAATTTATTTTTAAACTTTCAAATGCGATATTTATTCGTTAAATTATTGTAACTACAACTCCCTTTCCCCCAACATCCCCCCTGAACAAATTGCCGCAAAGCGTCCAAAACGTCGACTTATTAAATAAGTTGACTAATATATTTTGCGTTATAAACGGTTAAAAGTGTCTTCTTTAACGCATAAAGTCAATACTTATCTTGTGTGCTGTACACAAATATTTCTGTAATAAAAACGCATTAGTTAAAAATACTAATATTTAATACTGTCTATAGTTTACGCGAGTAGTGCAAATTTAAATAAAACACTTTAACGGTTTAAAACGCGATATATTAGTTAAACTTATTTCAAAATGATTTTTAACTTCGGCCCGACGTTTCGTATGCTTTGCAGCAGCCGTGGTCACGGGGAGACACGTCCGAAACATCGGGCCGAAGTTAAAAATCATTTTCAAATAAGTTTAACTAATATATCGCGTTTTAAATAATTAAAGTGTTTTATTTAAATACTAATATTTATTCATACTTCTTGTACTCGTTAGTTTGCATAACTATAATCAGGAAAAAAAACAAAATAAAAATCGCTATGTATTCTGATAAAAATTTCGTTTACAGTCCGTGGATCTCCGAATATCCAAAGTCAAAATAGCATCTTGTTGAGATGTTATATGACTGGGTTATTTCACTTTTAAATGATTTCTACGCTCGTATACATCGTTATGTCAAATTATTCAGTTTTAACATGTCTATGCAGTACCAATACTCACACAACGAAGACACGTTTATGACATCAATATTTCTGATTAACACTTTGAATACGTTACGCGTACAAGTGGAATAACATAACCTAATTACAGTGTATTGTTTCATTTACCCCAT